AGATGTACAATAGCCTCCACATCCAAGTCCTTGCTGCCATTCTTGATTATTTTAGAAATACGCTTCTTGTCCCTACTGGCAGTAGCACCTGGAAGACACCTGACCTCTTTCAAAGCCTCTGTGTCCTTCCCTAAATTTACATCCCTTATAATTGAATCACCTACCAGAAGGTAGCTTCTCTTTTTGGGAGCCTTTCTATTCTTGCATGACTGATGTGCAATACCTGATTCACACTTTTCACTGTCAGAATCTAGTTCTTCATCTCGGACCACAATCCCCTGCTTATTTGAGTTATCTTCACAAATACCTTTACCTGTCTCCTTAATGTCCCTATTAAGGTCAGCAAGGGCACTGTAACTGTTGTGCAGGGACACAGCGAAAGCTTTGTGTTTATGGTTCACAGCTCTCACCCTGCCAGATCCCACGGTTGTCCACACTGCCCTTCTCCTGCAGGATCTTTGTGGTAAAGGGGGCTGATAGCATGGGGGCTTACAAGAGTAGAGGGGCTGAACTGGACACCTAATTTCTGCCCGAAGAACACGGATTACAGACCCTAGGTAAATGATCTGTCCTTGTAGGCTAGTGATTTGTTTAAAGATAGGACAGTTTCCAAGTTTGAAAAGGGTACTGCGAAAGACAGCTGCAAAGCAAGTGTTGCACTGAACTAAGCCAGACATCTTAGATACAAGGGATGTCAGACACACTTGCCCTGAATGTACTGCTACTGTTTGTGATTTTTAGTTATATAATTATATAATTCGCGCACCATTAGGCGCGCGGGCCGCTACTTTCCTGGTGGATTCTCCCAAAACTTACAGATTAAGCAGCAGCTGAGGCAATGCAGCACGTTCCAGCAGCCCGACCGGAATTGAAATGGGGTTTAAATAGAGTATAATACACTATAAGTATAATGTATTATACTCTATTTAAACCCCCTTTCAATTCCGGTCGGGCTGCTGGAACGTATAGTGAAGGAAGACTCAAAAAATACTTTATTGTTCTGCATCATATCTTCCAAGCGTTACCCAGGTGCAACAGTTTGTACAACAATTCAAAACATAATACAGTCTTACAGATAAAATACATAAAAGCATAATCCAATATTTTAAGGATAAAAAGTCACACAAAAATTACAAAAGCAATGATAAAATACCATGGGTTAAATAGTTCACTAATTTAAAATGACATTTTTGACAAAAGGTGAGGTGTAAAAGGAACCATAGTTGTCATCAAAAGATTTTTCTCAGAAGAAAGAAAACACAACTTCAGTGTTCAAATACATAAATATCACAACAGGTATCTCTTGGTGAAGAGATGGTGATAATAAAGAATACATAAAAACAGGTAAAAGATAAAACTTGTCTACCATAAGCATCACAACTACTTAACAACAGTAAATCAGGAGTAAAACTCAGTTGTATTACAAAAAATAAATGTCAAACAGAAATTTCAGGACCAAAAAGACAAATGTGTGTGACAAAAGAAATCAAAATTCTTGAGGTGACCGCCATACTGTGTGTCATGTTTAATATTTATCAATCAAAACATAACTTACACATTTTAAACAACAGCCGTGGATAAAATTATTCCAAATAGAAATCTTTTATCAATCACTGGCCACACCAGACATTAACAAGAGCGGTTGAGGTTTTCTGTCTGGTTCTAAGAACCATGGCTGTGGCTAAATTTATGCCAGGCAGAAAACTATAAAATCTATTATCAATCACCGGCACACCCAGCGTTAAAAAGGGCCATTGAGATGCTTTCTGGTTCTAAGAACGACCCTCGTGCCTAAATTAAGCCAGGCAAGAAATCTACTCAGGGTTTCAATGGCCACATCTAGAATTTAAAAGGGTCACACAGATTTATTTTCCCAGTTCAAGGACATAATGTTTCACTCTAGCACAAAACTAGTTATTAATTTGTAGAGATGGCAATACCTCGTATTAAAGTGTGTCACCAGGTTTACTTTTGGTTGCAAGAGATCTGGCTGCAGCTGACATTATTTCTCAGGGAAGCGATTCAAAAGGATTCCCTTCCAGTTTGAGACTCAGCTCGGGCACCGGAGGAGGCTTGTAGTTGAGCGCTGTTGACTCCTCCAGTGTGACTCGCCCTGGCTGCTCACTCAGGTACTGAAAGGGTCTCCCTCCCAGGGTGGGTCTCACAGAGTGTGTGCTCAGAGGCTGGCCGAGCCTGGGAGCGTCTGGCTGCCTACTCATTCAGTGTGAGTTTCACAGAATAGTAACTCAGGGGCTGGAAGACCCCTGTCAGGAGTGCCTTGGCATCACCTCTGAGTCAGGATGGCCTCAGCAGCAGTGCAGCCTTTTGCCCAAGAAATGCAGCCCATCAACTCACCCGTGCCCATTTACAGCCAGCTTTCCTCCTCCGCTGCCCTCCCGCAGCCATTCTCCACGGCCAGTGGGCCCTTGGCCCTCTGCCTGTCGCCCTTCGGCCCGGCCAATTCACCCAGATACCGTTTGTCCTGGGTCTTTGTCTGTACAGGACAAATAGCCCACAGCCAGCTGGGTGGCAGGCAGGAGCCATGGTGCTGCGGGGGCAGCGTGCAATGAGCAATCCCCGGGGCTGGGGAGGGCAGTTGTGATGCAAGATTTTTTAAAGTGCTGTGGCTGCTCTGCATGTTTTGGGGCCTTGCAGCTCTGACCCCAGAATCGGAAGGAGGGGGACTGGCAGCAGAAGTAGCAACCACTGGGGCCACTGGGGGGAGCAGTCAGACAAGAGTGTGTTGGGGAACGAGGGAGGGAGGGAGGGGCACCTCAAGGGGACTTCACAAAGACAGCTTGACTCGCAACTCAAACGAAAGAGAGGAGGAGGAGAAAGGCCGGAGCAGCTTCTGCCACCGCCAGGGAGGCGGGTTAGGGGGGCACACAGGCAAACAGCAAGGCCAGCTTGGCTTCTACCCACCCTTCCCTCCCACGACGGGTCACAGTTCCAACCCCCAAGCCCATGCCATTTGCCCTCCCTTCCCTCCCACGACGGCGCACGCAGTCCCATCCGCCCCAGCCCTTCCCATTTGCCCTCCCTTCCCTCCCACGACGGCGCACGCAGTCCCATCAGCCCCAGCCCTTCCCATTTGCCCTCCCTTCCCTCCCACGACGGCGCACGCAGTCCCATCAGCCCCAGCCCTTCCCATTTGCCCTCCCTTCCCTCCCACGACGGCGCACGCAGTCCCATCAGCCCCAGCCCTTCCCATTTGCCTTCCCATCCCTCCCACGACGGCGCACGCAGTCCCATCAGCCCCAGCCCTTCCCATTTGCCCTCCCTTCCCTCCCACGACGGCGCACGCAGCCCAATCAGCCCCAGCCCTTGCCATTTGCCCTCCCTCCCTTCCCTCCCACGACGGCGCACGCAGTCCCATCAGCCCCAGCCCTTCCCATGTGCCCTCCCTTCCCTCCCACGACGGCGCACGCAGTCCCATCATCCCCAGCCCTTCCCATTTGCCCTCCCTTCCCTCCCACGACGGCGCACGCAGTCCCATCAGCCCCAGCCCTTCTTATTTGCCCTCCGTTCCCTCCCACGACGGCGCACGCAGTCCCATCAGCCCCAGCCCTTCCCATTTGCCCTCCCTTCCCTCCCACGACGGCGCACGCAGTCCCATCAGCCCCAGCCCTTCCCATTTGCCCTCCCTTCCCTCCCACGACGGCGCACGCAGTCCCATCAGCCCCCAGCCCTTCCCATTTGCCCTCCCTTCCCTCCCACGACGGTGCACGCAGTCCCATCATCCCCAGCCCTTGCCATTTGCCCTTCGTTCCCTCCCACGACGGCGGACGCAGTCCCATCAGCCCCCAGCCCTTCCCATTTGCCCTTCCTTCCCTCCCACGACGGCGCACGCAGTCCCATCATCCCCAGTCCTTGCCAGTTGCCCTCCCTTCCCTCCCAAGGCGCAAGCAGTCCTATTAGCCCACGCTTCCCTCCCATGACGCTCCAGTTCCAGCAGCACACCAGCCCTCTGTTTGCCTGTGTGCTCCCCTAACCCGCCTCCCTGGCTGTGGCAGAAGCTGCTCCGGCCTTTCTCCTCCTCCTCTCTTTCGTTTGAGTTGCGAGTCAAGCTGTCTTTGTGAAGTCCCCTTGAGGTGCCCCTCCCTCCCTCCCTCGGTCCCCAACACACTCTTGTCTGACTGCTCCCCCAAGTGGCCCCGGTGCTTGCTACTTCTGCTGCCAGTCCCCCTCCTTCCGATTCTGGGGTCAGAGCTGCAAGGCCCCAAAACATGCAGAGCAGAGCACTTTTTAAAAAAAATCTTGCATCACAGCTTCCCTCCCCAGCCCCTGGGGTTGCTCATTGCATGCTGCCCCCGCAGCACCATGGCTGGGGGCTATTTGTCCCATATAGCCAAAGGCCCGGGACAAAGGGTGTCTGGGTGAATTGTCCAGGCCGAAGGGCGACGGGCAGAGGACCAAGGGTCCACTGGCCGTGGAGAATGGCTACGGGAGGGCAACGGAGGAGGAAAGCTGGCTGTAAATGGGCTGAGGCGAGTGGCAGGGGGCGAAGGAGGCGTGACCAAGGGTCCATGCCTAAACATGGGGGGCGGTGCAGATGGAATCAGGACTAGTGCATCTCTTTTGTCTCTCTGGTTTCATGGACTGCAATGATCATGATCATCATTGACCAGTGAGGGAAGCGATCCAAAAGGATTCCCTTCCAGTTTGAGACTCAGTTGGGGAGCCTCAGGGACCGGGAGAGACTTCCAGCCGAGGGCTGTTGACGCCTCCAGGGTGATTCGCCCTCGCTGCTCACTCGGGGACTGAAAGAGAGAGACTTCTGGTGTGAGTCTCAGAAAGTATCTGCTCATGGACTGAGTGAGTCTGGGAGCCGATAATTATCCACATCCAGTCGGTGTGAGTGTCACACAAGCTCAGGGACTGAAAGACCTCTAAAAATGAGTCATCACTATTTACAGGATGGATTGGCATGTGGAATGCTTGTGTGGCCCTTCTCAAGTTCTAAGAAGTACAGATGTGGCTAACATTACACTAGTCCAGAATACTAATTACTGTTTTAATAATCAGTGACCAAGCCTAGCAATAGAAAGGGCCATAGACATTTTCTTTTGGGTTTTAAGAACCATTACCAGGCCTAACAGTAAGGAGGCAAGAAAAGTATGGAATCTTATGTACATCATGGAACACACCTAGAATGGGCTAAAAATACAACAGGCAAGAAAACGAGAATCCCTATTATGTAGCAATGGTCACAGATAGGATTAAAATGTGTAGTGTGGTGTGATCATGAAAGTGGCTTACATTTTCAGAGATTGTTCTAAAGGTCAGTTTTGACATAATTGGTGAAATAGCATTCTTGGTGGAGATCATGTTCATTCTTGCGTTCCATTCCTTCTTCCTCCTTTTTCACCATCAACACTGCAGGCTGACAAGTGAGTCTTCTGTCGTCTAGGATGGTGTAGAGTACATGCCTTTGAGATAAAAAAAAAAAATCAACATTACTTCAGCTGCCACTGAGGTTTTACACCTAAGAAGGCACAATACACTGTGGTTACTATTACCTCAGAGGCAGGTGTTACCCCTACTTATCTAGGAAGAATGGACCATCAATTTTTTTTGGGGGGGGGGGAACATTGACCTCCCTCCATATCATAAAACTTTGAAGAATACAACTTACCTCACAGCGTAGGAGGCGCCATCACAGCCAAAGGCTAATAGGGATTGAACTGGAGACATTTTCTTGCTGTCTTGGTTCTTCTTTTTTCTTTCTTCGCCTTTGTTTCTTCCTCCGTGTCTCTTCTGAGGAACATTTGGCAACAGGCGTGCAAATAGTCCTCCCCTCGATCTCAGGGACTCTAAAGCTACAAAAGCTTTTATAGATCAACGGCCACACTTAGCATTAAAAAGGGCCGTTGAGGCTTTCTTTCTGGTTCTAAGAACCATCGCCATGGCCAGAATTATGCCAGGCAAGAAAGGTATAAAATCTATAATGGATCAACAGCCACACCTAGCAATAAAAAGGGCCATTGAGGTTTTCTTTTGGTTCTAAGAACCATCGCCATGGCCAGAATTATGCCAGGCAGAAAACTATAAAATCTATAATCAGTCAAAAGCCACACTGGTCATTTAAAAAGGCCATTGTAATTTCCTTTCCGGTTCTAAGAACCATCACCATGGCTAGAATTATGCCAGGCAAGAAAGGTATAAAATCTATTATCCATCAATGGCCACACTTAGAATTAAAAAGGTCCATTGAAACTTTTTTTCTGGTTCTAAGAACAGTTGCCAGGGCTTAATTTATGCCAGGCAAGAAAGATATAAAATCAACTATCTACAAGATCGTATTCATTCTTGATTTCCATTCCTTCTTCTTGTACTTTTACCATCAAAGCTGAGTCTTCTGTCTTTTAAGATGCTGTAGTACATGCCTTTGAAATAAAAAAAAAATCAACGTTACTTCAGCTGCCACTGAGGTTTTACACCTAAGAAGGCACAATACACTGTGGTTACTATTACCTCAGATGCAGGTGTTACCCCTACTTACCTAGGAAGAATGGACCATCAATTTTTTTTGCTGGGGGGGGACCATTGACCTCCCTCCATATCATAAAACTTTGAAGAATACAACTTACCTCACAGCGTAGGAGGCGCCATCACAGCCAAAGGCTAATAGGGCTTGAACTGGAGACATTTTCTTGCTGTCTTGGTTCTTCTTTTTTCTTTCTTCGCCTTTGTTTCTTCCTCCGTGTCTCTTCTGAGGAACATTTGGCAACAGGGTGCAAATGTTCCTCCCCTCAATCTCAGGGACTCTAAAGCTACAAAAGCTTTTATAGATCAACGGCCACACTTAGCATTAAAAAGGGCCGTTGAGGCTTTCTTTCTGGTTCTAAGAACCATCGCCATGGCCAGAATTATGCCAGGCAAGAAAGGTATAAAATCTATAATGGATCAACAGCCACACCTAGCATTAAAAAGGGCCACTGAGGTTTTCTTTTGGTTCTAAGAACCATCGCCATGGCTAGAATTATGCCAGGCAAGAAAGGTATAAAATCTATTATCCATCAATGGCCACACTTAGAATTAAAAAGGTCCATTGAAACTTTTTTTCTGATTCTAAGATCGATCGCCATGGCTAAAATTACGCCAGGCAGAAAACTATAAAATCTATGATTAATCACTGGCCACTTTGGTCATTTAAATGGGCCACTGAGAGGTTTTCTTTCTGGTTCTAAGAACCATAGCCATGGCTAAATTTACACTAGGCAGAAAACTATAAAATCTATTATCAATCAATGGCCACCCCTAGAATTAAAAGGTCCATTGAAACTTTCTTTCTGGTTCTAAGAACCGTTGCCAGGGCTTAATTTATGCCAGGCAAGAAAGATATAAAATCAACTATCTACAAGATTGTATTCATTCTTGATTTCCATTCCTTCTTCTTGTACTTTTACCATCAAAGCTGAGTCTTCTGTCTTCTAAGAGGCTGTAGTACATGCCTTTGAAATAAAAAAAAAAATCAACGTTACTTCAGCTGCCACTGAGGTTTTACACCTAAGAAGGCACAATACACTGTGGTTACTATTACCTCAGATGCAGGTGTTACCCCTACTTACCTAGGAAGAATGGACCATCAATTTTTTTGGGGGGGGGACCATTGACCTCCCTCCATATCATAAAACTTTGAAGAATACAACTTACCTCACAGCGTAGGAGGCGCCATCACAGCCAAAGGCTAATAGGGCTTGAACTGGAGAAATTTTCTTGCTGTCTTGGTTCTTCTTTTTTCTTTCTTCGCCTTTGTTTCTTCCTCCGTGTCTCTTCTGAGGAACATTTGGCAACAGGCGTGCAAATGTTCCTCCCCTCGATCTCAGGGACTCTAAAGCTACAAAAGCTTTTATAGATCAACGGCCACGCTTAGCATTAAAATGGGCCGTTGAGGCTTTCTTTCTGGTTCTAAGAACCATCGTCATGGCCAGAATTATGCCAGGCAAGAAAGGTATAAAATCTATAATTGATCAACAGCCACACCTAGCATTAAAAAGGGCCATTGAGGTTTTCTTTTGGTTCTAAGAACCATCGCCATGGCTAGAATTATGCCATGCAAGAAAGGTATAAAATCTATTATCCATCAATGGCCACACTTAGAATTAAAAAGGTCCATTGAAACTTTTTTTCTGGTTCTAAGAACAGTTGCCAGGGCTTAATTTATGCCAGGCAAGAAAGATATAAAATCAACTATCTACAAGATCGTATTCATTCTTGATTTCCATTCCTTCTTCTTGTACTTTTACCATCAAAGCTGAGTCTTCTGTCTTCTAAGATGCTGTAGTACATGCCTTTGAGATAAAAAAAAAAAAATCAACGTTACTTCAGCTGCCACTGAGGTTTTACACCTAAGAAGGCACAATACACTGTGGTTACTATTACCTCATATGCAGGTGTTACCCCTACTTACCTAGGAAGAATGGACCATCAATTTTTTTTGGGGGGGGGACCATTGACCTCCCTCCATATCATAAAACTTTGAAGAATACAACTTACCTCACAGCGTAGGAGGCGCCATCACAGCCAAAGGCTAATAGGGCTTGTACTGGAGACATTTTCTTGCTGTCTTGGTTCTTCTTTTTTCTTTCTTCGCCTTTGTTTCTTCCTCCGTGTCTCTTCTGAGGAACATTTGGCAACAGGCGTGCAAATGTTCCTCCCCTCGATCTCAGGGACTCTAAAGCTACAAAATCTTTTATAGATCAACGGCCACGCTTAGCATTAAAAAGGGCCGTTGAGGCTTTCTTTCTGGTTCTAAGAACCATCGTCATGGCCAGAATTATGCCAGGCAAGAAAGGTATAAAATCTATAATTGATCAACAGCCACCCCTAGCATTAAAAAGGGCCATTGAGGTTTTCTTTTGGTTCTAAGAACCATCGCCATGGCTAGAATTATGCCAGGCAAGAAAGGTATAAAATCTATTATCCATCCATGGCCACACTTAGAATTAAAAAGGTCCATTGAAACTTTTTTTCTGATTCTAAGATCGATCGCCGTGGCTAAAATTACGCCAGGCAGAAAACTATAAAATCTATGATTAATCACTGGCCACGTTGGTCATTTAAATGGGCCACTGAGAGGTTTTCTTTCTGGTTCTAAGAAACATAGCCATGGCTAAATTTACACCAGGCAGAAAACAATAAAATCTATTATCAATCAATGGCCACACCTAGAATTAAAAGGTCCATTGAAACTTTCTTTCTGGTTCTAAGAACCGTTGCCAGGGCTTAATTTATGCCAGGCAAGAAAGATATAAAATCAACTATCTACAAGATGGTATTCATTCTTGATTTCCATTCCTTCTTCTTGTACTTTTACCATCAAAGCTGAGTCTTCTGTCTTCTAAGATGCTGTAGTACATGCCTTTGAAATAAAAAAAAAAAATCAACGTTACTTCAGCTGCCACTGAGGTTTTACACCTAAGAAGGCACAATACACTGTGGTTACTATTACCTCAGATGCAGGTGTTACCCCTACTTACCTAGGAAGAATGGACCATCAATTTTTTTTGCTGGGGGGGGGACCATTGACCTCCCTCCATATCATAAAACTTTGAAGAATACAACTTACCTCACAGCGTAGGAGGCGCCATCACAGCCAAAGGCTAATAGGGCTTGAACTGGAGACATTTTCTTGCTGTCTTGGTTCTTCTTTTTTCTTTCTTCGCCTTTGTTTCTTCCTCCGTGTCTCTTCTCAGGAACATTTGGCAACAGGCGTTCAAATGTTCCTCCCCTCGATCTCAGGGACGCTAAAGCTACAAAAGCTTTTATAGATCAACGGCCACACTTAGCATTAAAAGGGCCGTTGAGGCTTTCTTTCTGGTTCTAAGAACCATCGCCATGGCCAGAATTATGCCAGGCAAGAAAGGTATAAAATCTATAATGGATCAACAGCCACACCTAGCATTAAAAAGGGCCATTGAGGTTTTCTTTTGGTTCTAAGAACCATCGCCATGGCCAGAATTATGCCAGGCAGAAAACTATAAAATCTATAATCAGTCAACAGCCACACTGGTCATTTAAAAAGGCCATTGTAATTTCCTTTCTGGTTCTAAGAACCATCACCATGGCTAAAATTACGCCAGGCAGAAAACTATAAAATCTATTATCGATCAACAGCCATGCCTAGCATTTAAAAGGGCTGTTGGGGAGGTTTCCTTTCTGGTTCTAATAACCATTGCCAGGGCTTAATTTATGCCAGGCAAGAACGATATAAAATCTATTATCTAAAACATTATATTCTTCTTAATTTCCATTCCTTCTTCTTGTACTTTTACCATCGACGCTGAGTCTTCTGTCCTCTAAGATGCTGTAGTACATCCCTTTGAGACAAAAAAAAAATCAGCTTTACTTCAGCTGCCACTGGCGTTTTACTCCTATGAATGCACAATACACTGTGGTTACTATTACCTCAGAAGCAGTTGTTACCCCCTACTTACCTAGGAAGAATGGACCATCAATTTCCTAGGAAGAATGGACCATCCACTTCACTCCATATCCTAAGACTCTGAAGAATACAACTTACCTCACAGCGTAGGAGGCGCCATCACAGCCAAAGGCTAATAGGGCTTGAGCTGCAGACATTTTCTTGCTGTCTTGGTTCTTCTTTTTTCTTTCTTCGCCTTTGTTTCTTCCTCTGTGTCTCTTCTGAGGAACATTTGGCAACAGGCGTGCAAAT